TTTTCTTCATTTCTTGACAAAGCAAAACGATTCCACTGCATTGAGTTGTCTCTTCAATTGATTGCTAGGTGGACCAGGAACTGGTGAAACATCCGTGACGAACACTCGATTCCCAACTAATCCAACTGGTAATTTTTTCTTCATTTCTTGACAAAGCAAAATGAATCTACTGCATTGAGTTGTCTCTTCAATTGATTGCTAGATGGACCAGAAACTGGCGAAACATCCGTGACGAACACACGATTCCCAACTTATCCAACTGGTATATTCTCTTCGCTGTTCTTAACAAAATGAATTTTTTCACAACTCTGAGTTGTCTCAAGAATTTGAAGACATTGATTGTCATTGTATGTTTACTTTTAGGTGGCTCAGGAAGTTCTCCAACGGAAGCACCAACATCTTCGCCCTCTCCTCCATGTTCGATGGGAAATGTTAATCAAATCACTATTCTAGAATCTATAAAATCTTTATTCGATAGAACGCTCAAGGCTGCTGTTAAAGTCGTCAGATATTTCTTGAGCGTAATTTTCAAAAATCTGCTCAATGTCCTCACCAATGTCGTGCCAAAGGGTGGGAGGGTTAACGTAATAAATCTGATAACTTTGCTGAAAAGGCTGAAGAATCCCACACTTTCAACCTTGATTTTCAAGGTCCTAAAATTGTATAAGGCAAAAGAGTGTCTGGCTTTTGAATTAATTCCGAATTTCATTCTGAACACCAAAATCAATATTAATGCATTCATTAAGCTGTTCCGAAGTCAATGCCAATATAGAACTTCGGTTACATTCACTTTGATTCTTAATGTAATTGGTGATTATTTAGTTAATGTATACTCTATCAGATTGCATTGAAAATATGCCGCAGTGATTCGGTAACAAGTTCTTTTTTTAATCTGGTAATAATATTCAAATTGTACTTAAACTTTGAAATATATTGTTAATAAAATTTGAAAATACTTACAATAAACATACTATCTTTTCACATGTTTCACGATTAATTGAGACGTATTATAATAATAAAGATTACCTTTATTCCACAGCCCAGAAAACAATGACAACTGGGCAATCACTTTGACATTTCGTCGATTCTCCCTATCGAGCGTCGCGTAAAATCGAATGTCTCCTTGCCTTAAAATCGCATGAAAAGAGCCAGTTTTACGCACATGCCTTAATAAGTGCCATGTAAATGCAAACGTCGCGTAAAATCGGATCTTTTCATGCGACGACTCTCTCAATAGTTACGCTGGCCACCGCATTTTCTAGTAGCACAATCGCTGTTGCCAGTCAGTTCCATGATTGCTTTATTGAATAGAAAATTAACTCACGCAATATACTTTATTCCATTAAGACCTAGAGTTGCAAAATTGAAACATGTTGGTTTTTCGCTTTTATGGGCTTCAACTTGAATCATATGGTCACGGTCGCGTAAGACGAAATCGCGGGAAAAAGGTTGAAAGCGGAAAAAAATGGTCTTAATGTTATTAGATTGCCATGAAGTCTTGCACCATTTACATAAACTCAATATATTCTGAAATTTTCATGGGATTTTGATTATTTTTTCTTATCGAAATTGTTGAATTTGCGATTTTTTTCTTCATTTTTTGACTTTTTGTGGACTGTTTTTCGAGGGTGTTAATTTCTATCAAAAATGTACAAAATTGTTAGGTTAAATACATATTCTTAAAGTAAAAGGTTCAACTTTTAATATTCAGTTAATAGAAATCAATTTTTTTTTTATCGCATCCTGTTTTTTTCTTGTCACGAAGTTTGTACTTGTGACGTTACTGAGTTTTTGTGTGACGTTACTGACGTCACTTTAACGTCTGTAGATGCACCAAGAATATGATTTTCAGCGTAATTACCATATCTATCGTTTCTTTGATCCTTTATCTATAAATTCTTGGTTATGGCCTAAAAAATAAATTGCTAGATTCGCTAATTGTTTTGAAAATATGAAGTAATCTCGAAAATCACTTCCAAAATTATGTGACGTTACGGTTGACTTTAAACCCAGGCTTTATTATGCGCTAAATCCATCACGCTGAATAAATTCATGCGATAGATTTATGCAATAAATGTGATGCGCTCGCTTTGCGGTGAACGAGGTCTGTTTCTCTTCACTACCGCTTAGCGATGCGTTCACTGCAAAGCATGAACGTTCATGCGTGAGCAAGTGAAGAGCAACAGACTTAGTTCACCGCAAAGCGAGCGCATCACATTTATTGCATAAATCTATCGCATGAATTTATTCAGCGTGATGGATTTAGCGCATAACAAAGCCTGTTTAAACCCTTATTACTCCGTAATCACAAGTGATGGACAAAACTTTTAGCCATTGAATCATTAGTCTTGAAGAGTTCTATCATATGCAATATAGACACTATGAGTTTCAGCTATTTTTTTGAAGAGATATGTGCAAAAAAACGCGATGTTACTGACGATGACCGTGACCATATTTGAAAATATTACCTATAATTTTAAATTTAAAAATGAATTTCCCAGAGCTTTGGTTGTTGAAAAATAATATTTTTCAATGGAACAATTGAGGTACACAATTACTTCATGGTTATTTTGAAATTTTATCACAAAATGTATCATTGAGAATAAATTGAGTAGTATGGAGTGAAAATGTAATACAGAAAAGTTGCGCGGAAAAATGTCAAATGAAAAGAGATAGCTATATAGTTCACTATAAGTTTACTATACAGTATATAGTAAGCTATCCCTTTTACGCTCATTCTTCATCGAAATTTTTCCGCGCAACTTTTCTGTATTACATTTTCGCTCTAAACTACTCAATTGATATGGATCAGCTGATTTAGTGTGCTGCTCGACATGCATTATTTTAATGGGCAGCTCTTGCCCATTTGGGCAGTTCTAAATCATAAATGGGCAGCTCAAAACTCAAAAATGGGCAGTGTTTTACTTAAATTTTCTTGAAAATGGGCAGCTTCTTAAAATAATGCATGCCGCACGACGATAAATTAATTAAATAATTAACTTCCACAACAAAATTTCACTCATCAGTAGGAGTTGAGTTTTCAAAACATGCATGTACTTCTGTAAAAAATTAATTATAAATCATGTCTGTAGTAAATGTGAGAATATCATCTTTTTTACGTTTTCGATATACGAAATAAAGGTTGTAGTATCCTTTGGGTGTTAAATTATTGACACGTTTGCCTGTTCATGTTCACGACTCACTGTCGTGACTGGTGCAATCTCCACGAATAATCGTGTAGATGATAATAAATTGGAAATAAACGTGAAAGAAACAGGAACGAAAACAGTATAAATACTGGAAACATTTAAAGCGGAAAACAGTTGAAAATTACATTATCAACAAGAAAGTAAAATGAAGTTCACTGCAGCTATACTTATCGCCCTCGTTTTAGTAGTTGGATATGGGTCCAGTCTTGCCGCGGCTAACGAAACAAAAGAGACGGGAACTGACAGCAATAATCCTGGAAACGGCCTGTTGTCAGGTTTGCTTGGGCCACTGTTCAGTGCACTGCCCGAAAGCATACGAAATCTGCTAAAATCTTTAAGCTCCTTGCTGCCCGAAACGATTAGCGGACTACTCACTACCGTAGGAACTCTCCTAACTAATCTTCTGGGAGGTGACGTTGTGGAATTCATCACCGATCTGTTGGGTAATTTGTTCGAAGGACTTTTCGGTGGTATTGGATCTTGGCTTACAGAATTTCTAGGGGCTAACTTCGAAAACGTGCCTTATTTGCTTAAGGGAGTAGCGAGTACTGTGCGAAGTGTGCTTACTACTGTTGTCTCAACGCTGTTTAGTTTCGTCAATAATTTGCTCCTTTTCGTTTTCAAAGCGCTTTTGTTCCTTCTCTTCCTATTCAAACCAGCCAACTTTACATTCGATCTTGCAACGATTGTGCCAGGATTGCTAGCCCTGAAAAAGCCAACGTTATCCTCTGTTGCAACTTCTGTCCTACGAACACTCAAAATTAACGGAACTTTTGTCTTGTCATTAGTTCCTGTACCAATTTTGAATACACCGATTAAACTAAATGTCTTACTTAAGCTTCTGCAACCTTACTTGAAGGAAGAACGACTTACCTTCGGAAATTTACTAGATGGTGTTGTTGCATACTTGGGATCTGTATATTCCCTTGTACTACCAAAAGTTAAATAAATGGGATATCCTACAGCCCATGTGTGCAATTTAAACATATTCCTTTCTTCACAGTAAATATTTATAGATAGTGTGAAATTTCGAACGATTGTACACATTCATTGATTTTAATCTAAATAAAATTCAATGCAGTAAAAGAGAAACGTTTTTTTGTTTTTTATTTTATTTTATTGTTTCACTGCCTAGCTTTGGCTGAACTTTACTTAAGTATAATTAAAGACACCCATAGAATGAAAGAACAACTTATGAGCTCTTTATCCATAACTGAGACGAAAAAAAAACTTAGAGCAGAAAAGAGACAAATAAAGTTGCGAGCAAAAGTGACACAACTCAGCATTGTATTGTATTATGTTTATTAGCGTTAGCTCTTTTGGTAACATTTGTATTTATATATTAAAATTCTCCATTATATGATTTTTGCATTCCATTTTAAATGAGTTTAGTGATGGTTTTTCTCTGATATACATTGGAAGCTCTTTATACATTTTGACTCCATAACAGAATATATTCCTTCTGGTTTTTTCATATTTAAAATTTGGTAGTCTTAGATCATTATTTGTTCTTTGTCTTGTGTTCCTCGTGTGTGCATCCCTTGTATAAATTAGGTTATCGCTTAAGTATTTCGGGAGAAGCCCGTGTCTCATTTTATATATATAGATTAATACATTAAATTTTATCATCTGGTCAATGCTTAGCCAATTAAAAGTCAACTTTTTCGATATTCTGTACAGTAGGTTGGTTTTGCTTGCTGCTTTTTTTGTACATATTGCAGTCTGTTCTTTAAACGATATTGTTTCATCTATGATAACTCCTAGGTATTTAATGCTATGGACTCTATTTATTTTCTCATTTCCTATTTTGATTTCAATTGAATCGTCCACTTCAACACTGTTTCTACTTATTATCATTCAATTTGTCTTTTTAGTATTTAGCATCAGTTTGTTCAATTTTAGCCATGCATAAATTCGGTCGAGATCTTCATTAATTTTTCTTATTGCAATTTCTACGTTTTTCGCAATTACATATATACCCGTATCATTCGCGAATAAGACTACTGAACTATTTTTTGGAATTTTTGTTATCTGATCTATATAAATGCTAAATAATATCACGCTGAGTGCTGTTCCCTGTGGCAGTCCAATTGGTATTTCGGTTTCGTTCGACATTTTATTTTTATATTTTGTTTGTTGTTTTCGCGATTCCAAGTAGTTGGTGAACCATCTCAGCTCTGTGTCATGGATGCCCTTTGCTTGAAGTTTTTCTAGCATGATTTTTCTATCTACAGGCTCAAAAGCACGCTTGAGATCGAGAAAAACTGCTACGATGATTTGGTCATTGTTTTGGGCTTGTTTCCAATCGCTGATAACGTAGTTTATTGTTGACTCACAGGAGTGGTTTGATCTGAATGCTGATTGGTGTGGCGATATGAGGTCGTTGTCTTCGATGTATTTAACCAATTGATTTTTCACTACTACTTCAATTACTTTTTCGTCAATTGGTAATGTGTTGATCCCTCTGTGCTTTGTGATTTTCGGGATTGAAGTCACGGTTGAAGTTTTCCATGCGTTGGGGAAGAGACCAGTTTCTAATGATTCGTTTATTATTTTTGCTAGGAAATAACCGCAGTACTCAGATGCGTCAAACCATACTTGCGAATTTAATTCATCCGATTTATTTATTTTTTTCGTTAGGAATTTTAAAATTCGGTTTATTTCATCCACATCTGTTATTTCAAATTTAAATCGGCAATTATTCAGCTCATTTTCATGTATCATTTCAGTTTGTATGTTATCATTTGGTATATTTCT